TTAGTAGCAAACAATCTTCCTCTGCCAGACATAGCTGCTGAATGATGATGAAAAGCTTATAATTTGGAGATATAAAATGATAATAACATTAAATAAAAATAGATCAAAATGTTGCATAGGCTCTACTATACATTCAAATGATCTCAAGTTCTATGCGGAGTGATGAAGACATTCATGTACACTTTTCAATACCATATCAGAGTTTAACACAAACATATAGTAGTGGCTGTAGTGAAGGTGAATAAGGGAGCAAAAGCAAAAGCAAAAGCAGTCTATAATAGTGGTATCTCCCTTCCCACAGGATCTGGATAACGAGGGTTAAAAGTATCTGGGAATACTAGAAGCCAATGATAGTATCATATAAAGAGATGATAGTATTAGTTGCAAAGGAGTATATTATCGTTATATTCAAGAGGTCGGATATCTGAGCAATGAGAAAATAGAAGCATTGGAACATTGAAACAGTTCATTTTTGCAGATAAATACATCTTCATTATATAATATTTCTCTCATGTTCAAGTTCTATATTATTTTCGCTAAATAATATACAGATCTGACTAGCAAATTACTTCTCAAGGTCAACAAGCAGAACAGTAGTGGTCTACAGGTTTCTAACTTCAATAAAACACAAGTTTTTTGATTAAATATAATCATTAATCCGTAATAATTCTATACCAATTTCTACAAAAATAGCTTGAATCTTAAATATGCTCTTAAACATGCTTGCACAATGCACACCAGCCATAATGTTGATAGACTGATTGTTAAGAGGAACTTGCTATTCATTGCACTATACCTGTTTTAGACATAGTGAGTGTTCTATAATCACGTAACATGCTCTGAACAGAGTTATAGGAAATAATATGTGATATAATAGTTTATTAATAGATTGGCACTTGAATAATTCGTCTGATTGTTCAACCTTGAAGAATGGAAGATAGCTGGGAGGGGGCTTGTAATTAATAATCATGGTGATTAGCCCTGATTAGCCCTAATATTCAACACTTGGACTCAAATTGATCATTAATTCTAAACTTACAGTAACGGCTAAAGTGATAATCTACACTACAGTTTTCGAATAAAAACATGACGTAAATTAAAAAGTTAAAAGCAATTGATCCAAAACTGATCCCAATTCTAAAACTCTGAAGTAAAATATCTAAAATAAAATTTACGTTTTCCATTAAAAATTCACAGATTGACAAACTTAACCGTATACAAAAAAAATGTCTACTATATATTTAAGTTCTAAATAACAGATAGTGTAAACACAACGCTGCTGTCTCATCTTTCTTTAAAAAACAGAATAATATGGCTTGCATTCTGCGCCAATTTGCTCTGACAAAATCAATATTTCTAAGATATTTTAAATCATAAATGTTATTAAGAAACAATTCTCGGTTATTTAATTCACGCTGTATTAATGAGAACAGGTTAGAAAATATATCATGGATTAAAAACATAAATAGTCACACAACAATTTATTTTTTGCCAATATTATCGTATATTATCAAGGCAAATCAAATTATCATTATTAAAATCAAATGAGCAACTCATGCAAAGGTTAATATAAATTTACTATTTAATTCACTTATTATTCAACCAGACCAGCAGCTCTAAGTCAGTAGGTCAAGTTAATGAAACCTTGTTACTACTTAGTCCAGTAAACTGAAGTATATTACAGTAGCAATATAAAAAGTGATGATGTACCCTGCAAGATTTCTTCTGGTTACAACATTATCATACAACCAGGTTACAATAGCAAGTAACGGAGATAAGACTGGTACACGTGTAGTTAGGTACTGCAACAGATAACGTAGCATGCATAGTAGTTCTACAAGAAACCAGCAGATAGTGTATACATAAGCCATCACATAACACAGTGGTAACCAACATTTGTAGAACCAAGAACCAGATCTCCACATCTCACTATACTGTGCTACTCTTTTTCTAAAAGCACCGAGAGGAGTATACAATATACCTTCCAATAACAGAGCAAAGGGAAACATCACCAATACCAGCCCAGCTATAAGTATAATCGCATTCTTATTAGTGCTAAACAGTAGGTACAGTGAGACTGGTATCACTATGTACACAGCGTACTGTGTCTCATTATCGGTGTTCAGAAGATACAGCTCGTAGATAAAAGAAACAAATAGTAGCAGGACAATTAAAGGAAATCCAGGTCTACTGAAAAGTAAATGAAGATCAGTGACTGAAATAAAATCCCATTTTGCGTTATCTGCATTAAATCTATCGAAGATGTCTTTCGCAAAATGCTGACAGTTTTTATTCAATGTTTTATATACATTCTTCGGCAGTATGTCTTTCAAATGACAGACTACGTTACCAAGTAATGAAGTAGACTGGGCTTTTATCAACTCCCTGATAGGAGTTGCACGCGGTACTTCTTTAAAGTAAAATATAACCGAGTCAAGACTTCCTCCAAAACTAACATATACACCGTCTCTTTGTTTTTCAACTGCAACGTATCTTCCATCTTCTGTCTGTAAGACGACAAAAACATGGTAGTCTACCACGGAAAATTGCTTCTGAAAAAAACTTTTAATAACAGGCCAAGAGTTGGAACTTTTGAATGGAGCATCTAAAGGCACACTGTAAACACCTATCCATTCGAGTTTTGCTGTTTCATAATCCTTACAATTAGACCGGAATACTTTCTCCAGATTAGCATCAGTTACTAACTCAGTACAACAGGAGGGGATTATATCTGTTTCAGGACGGGGAACAACTTTATTAGTTTCTACGATTCCATCAAAATACATAGACAGAGCGAATACAATGTTGATTAGAAGATGCAGGGTTACCATGTACTGTTCTACACAATGTGATCTGAAATAAGTAGATAGTTGCAATAACTCAATTAGATTTACGTAAAACAAATGTTGTAAACATATTGCTAGCTATTTAAACTTGAAGCTGCAACTGGATTTAAACAAGTTGTTATATCACAATTATTCACTAAAATCTGAACATAAACCCACACTATGATAACTAATTCATCCTGTGTTACATTGTAAGATGTATTGTGGCTACTAGGTAACGCCTAACAGTACAGAGCAGGAACTATGATACAAAATACAAAATACTCAAAATAAAACTAACCTGGAAATATCTGGTATCCTGGTATACAGCCCCTTTCCGCTAGTGGTAACTGTGATAATGATACACAGGGGGATAATAGCTAAATCAAGTGACCTAGACCTGGAATAATATTTGTAATATTGTACATTTAAACGTTGAATATTATATAATGTACGATTAATACACGAGGAGAACTTTCTTTAAAGACGTGGATTCTGGTCATCTGGTGGGTAGGTGAAACATATTTTTTGACACCTGACAGCAATTATCCTAATCCTATCCACTGTTCATCAATCAAACCCCAGAAAATATAAATGTATGTATATACTTTTTTTGTGGTTTATCCACTGGGCTTAGAGTTTGTGTTTAAGCTACCAAATTTTATTATTATTATTATTATTACTTACCGAACAGAACTGTTCAGATACATTCTTGCCAGTACATATAATACCCAAAGTATAACACACAGGTCACGGAAAACTAACCAATCCCACCAATCAGATCTGAAATGTAATTTATAATACAAATGCAGTTAAATATATTGGTTATATTATGTTTCAACACATAAGTTACTACTTATATTAGGACGCAATGAAACTACCGGACCACGATGTATGGGGACTTGCCACCCCATGGCAACATTAAAATATATCGACTCTGTTACATCGTTTCCTGTTAGTATAAAACTCCGTTACAAAATGAACTAGGATCTGGCAATACTACACCTTAGATCAATAAAATATGATATAATAATGTATAACTGTTAACTAGACTTAAATAAAAGTCTGAAGAATATAGAAAATAAACTGATTTACCGCTTGTAAGTTTAACAATAAACTGTGAAAGTAAACTGTACCGATACGATCAAAGAAATTATGGCTAAAGGAGAAAGGCAAAAGGTAACATGCATAAGGAATTACAAGAGGGCTTCACACACACTATAATTACATGAAGTCATTAACTGTGAAAATATGCCAGTGTCTGAGGATACACGCTGGCTGACTATTAATAAATAATTTAAGATATCTATGTAAGATTTTCCGTTCAAAATTCTGGGTAATCAGTTTATCAATTAATAATTTAACATCATGAATAAATTCAGTAACTACTGCACTGAGGAAGATTTGCATATCCTATATAATTCACCTACAAATACTCCATACGAAGGTTTAATAGGTACGTTGGAGTGAAGGTTAGGAAAAGTAACGACTTTAAAACTAAAGTCACGTCGTTTGTCATATAATTTAGTGTAGAAACGATTGTTCAAAATATTAATGTCTAAATCAAGAAAAGTCGTAGATAAATTGCTAGAGTTTGTAACTATAATCTTCAACTCTGCGGGGTAAATATCATTGCAAATAATATCGACAGTCTTATTGTTGATATTGGGGGTGGTTAAATCGTCAATGTATCGACTGGCGTGTTTCAAAGTGTGAACCACAGGGTTCTTGTTTTTAACTTGCAATGTGATGTAATTATGCTCGTACCAGTATAGAAAAAGGTCTGCGACCTGGGAAGCACAATCACATCCCATTGGGATACCAATTACCTGTCTGTAGATCACACCTCGAAACTTAACATATATCTAACTTACAAGACATATTTATGTTCGACATAATCCCGGTGACCTAAATGATTTGGGAACGAAAATATGGGGATTTTTTCCCGAAAACCGCCAGATTTCGTACCCCAAATTAAATCATGATATTTAGGGATTTTGTTTATCTCCTTATTTTACAAAAATGAAACCCAATATTCGAGAAAATATTTTAAAAGCAATTCATGATCGAATACTAGTGTTCATTTGTTTGATGAATCATATTTATAACTTACATTATAACTTATATTGATAGTAAATCGATAAAGTCATAATAAGGAAAATACGTGAAAAATAATTTGGGGAAAATAATGAGTCCCGTGACCTAAATTTTCGAAAAACCACCGACTTTCGTACTTTTAAATGTCTTGTAAGGTAGCCTATAAAGCTGGCAAAGCAGCTAGCTTATAACATAAGGAAAATATCTACAAAGCTAGTAGCTACCAGAGCAAAGAGGCAGTAACAATACTATGCCTACTACTACTACTCCTTTTTTTGCGCACTAACTACAGTATATTGGTTAGTGACGCTAATAAGCAAGCATCATCAGAGTTTCTCAAATGCTACACCAGCTTCTAATTTGAAAATTGCAAAGCTATTGGCCCTGCCCAAATATCTAATGGGCTACTAAAATCGGTATTTTACACCTTATTTTCAGCATTATCTTTTTTTACTTGTTTTATGGGCCCCAAAGGTTTTGCTCTATTACGGGTAAACCTAGGATGCTGCAGATTCAACTCTGTACATTCAGACCGTCTGTGCGTGGTGAAGAGCCACACCCTGCTCGAGGTGGGGCTGCATGAAACTTCAGTGATGGAGTTGTAACTGAACACAGCGGATCTAGGGGTGCACCCCCGAAAAAAAAGCCGGGCATCCTCAGAACAAGCTCGTGATGATGGTGATTTGGGTTAATGAAGATGTAACAGATTCCGGAACTATGGGAGCACCATCTGTCATCTTACCGTTTTATTTACTGTATGTGGGAACATCTACTGATGAAGTAGCTATCAAGAGAGCCATTCCAGTGGCGCAGGTGGCTCACGTGTCACATAGCCAACAGAAAAGAAACATGATGAATAGTTCTTACAGCACTAGGGTATCAGCCCCTACTTTTGTTTCTGGACGTGAAGGTGGTAATGATTTCACCAACTTAAATCCGAATGGAAGGTTGGTGAATGATGAGCCTAATCAACCTGAAACACCCAACAGCATAAACGAAAACAACAAAAAAAGTTTATTTTCATGTACCGACATTACCTGGGTAGGCACTCTTAACACTAGAACGATAAGAACTGCCCAGAGGAAACTGGAGATGGTACATCTTTTCGAGAAGAGTGGAGCAGAGATTGTAGGTATCCAAGAGCACAGGATAATCCATGAAGAGCCTGTCAAAGTAGAGAGAGTTGGCAAGAGCAGCTATCTAATTACTTCATCAGCTACTAGGAATCGAGCCCAGGCAGCAGTGGGCGGAGTGGGATTCATCCTAACTAGCAAGGCATTTGACGCAACTACGGAGATAGCACCAGTGACGGAGAGAATCCTTAAGATATCTCTAAATGGTAATCCTAAACCAACCTTCGTCTGTGTCTACGGACCTACGGAGGCAGATAGTGTAGAAGCAGCAGAGAAGTTTCATACCGATCTAAGGTGTGCAGTCTCACAGATCCCTGCTCACAACTTCTTGGAGGTGATTGGGGATTTTAACGCTCACCTATCAAAGAGGGACGAGAATGACTTTGGTTGGTATTTCCATGAGAGAACCAACAGAAATGGGGAGCTGCTTCGGGATACTGCCCTGGAATGTAATCTGGAGATTACAAACACCAGGTTCAGAAAGAAGCGTGGTAAGATTTGGACTCACCTATCGGATGGAACCCTGAATAAGTCTCAGTTAGACTTTATTCTAGTGAGGAAGAAGTGGAGGAACAGTGTCAAAAATACTGAAGTCTACAGCTTCTTTAGTACACTGGGTACTGATCATAGACTTGTTTTGTCTAAGATCAAGCTATCTCTTCGACGAGCAAAAAAGCAACCCAAGAAAACCTGGTATAATTGGGGAGCACTTAAATCGGATGAAGACCTACAGAAGAGATATGCAGTAGAAGTCAAGAATCGGTACTCTGCTTAATGCGAGCAAATCGATGAAAGTGAGGTTACGGAACTGTATGGGCATTTTGCTGATGCGATTGCTGATACCAACAAAGCCATACTGCCTAAGAGAGAAAAGAAGAGACGTGACGATTTCGCGAGTGATCAGCGAGTACAAAGCGTGCGTACAGCGTTGCAGCGAGCAGAGACTGTCTATCACCGGGATCCTAGTGAAGACAGTCGACTGTCTGTTAAGCTACTAAAAACTGAACTGGATCAGGTGTACCAGGACATCTTTGAAGAAGATCTAGTTGCCAAGGTTAGAAGGGTCGAAATGGCTGCAGACAGATGCAAAAACAAAGAAAGTTGGAATGTCATAAATGAGATAACTGGCAGGAAGGCCAAGGGGGCAACTCAAATAAGGGGCAACGGAGCCGAAGAAAGGAAGAAAAATTGGCTTGGGCATTTCACGAATCTGTTAGGGAGTACACCGGATGTGGAAAACGAGCATCCTAGGATCGAGACTCAATTTGAAGGACTCGACATCAGTACAGAACCTTTTACTGTGGATGAGTTTAAAGCTGCTAAACACAGGATAAAAGAAGGTAAAGCACCAGGTGATGACGGCATACCACCTGAAGTCCTCAAAAGATGCGATCTGGATGAAATCGTGCTGTCCTTCTGCAACAAAGCCCTGACAGATGGTATTGCGCCAGATCAGTGGAGGATAAGTAACATCATCCCGGTCCCCAAAAAGGGCGACTTGACCAACCCTGGAAACTGGAGGGGGATATCTTTGACTTCTCTCGTAGCTAAGACTCTTAATAGAATGGTGCTTAATAGGATCCAGCCGGCTATAGAGGGGGTACTTAGGGACACTCAGAATGGTTTTCGGGAAGGACGTTCCACTACTAGTCACATCTTGGCACTCAGAAGGATTCTAGAGGGGGCTAGACAGAGAAATTTACCAGCAGCTATGGTGTTTGTTGATTTTAAGAAGGCCTTTGATTCACTTCACCGGGGAATTTTGATGCAAATACTAAAGGCCTATGGGATACCGGACAGTATTGTAGATATCATTAATCTTCTCTATGTCAACACGAAGGGCAAAGTTATAACACCAGATGGGGATACCGAGCTATTTGATATCCTGGCAGGAGTTCTTCAAGGGGATACATTAGCACCATACTTGTTCATTATAGCCCTTGACTATTGCATGAGACAAGCCTTAAGCAAGCATCCTGAAATAGGATTTACCATTAAGCCTTATCGGAGTAGGAGAGTCAAGGCGGAGAAGATAACAGACACTGGTTTTGCAGATGACATTGCTCTGATAGCAGATACTGTAAAGGAGGCAGAGATGCTGATGCTAGAGGTAGAAAGAGTTGCTGCTACAGTGGGACTTAAAATGAATGAAGGGAAAACCAAATTCATTACTCAGAACATCGAGAACCCTGATACCATCAAGTCCCTGGGTAACAACACAATAGAGCACGCGGAAGACTTTACCTATCTTGGTTCTAGAATCAGAGACAGTGAGAGTGATATCAGGGTTAGGAAAGGAAGAGCATGGGGAGCATGCCACACTCTCAAAAAACTTTGGAAATCCAACCTTAGAAAGTCTATCAAGACCAGAGTGTTCACAGCACTAGTCGAGTCGGTGCTTCTATATGGTTCTGAGACTTGGACTATGACGAAAAGGCTGGAGAAGATGGTTGATGGTTGCTATACACGAATGTTAAGAATGGCCCTTAACATCAATCAATATCGAGACCATGTCAGCAACCACAGTCTGTACGGTGATCTTCCTAAAGTCAGCTCCAAGATAACCCAACGAAGGCTCAGACTTGCAGGTCATGCTCACCGACATCCGGAGCTGACACTGAACAAACTGATCCTCTGGAAGCCGAGTCATGGGCATACTAACAGGGGGCGACCTTACCTAACACTACTAGATAACCTAAAAGCAGATACTGGGCTGAAATCAGTAGATGAGATAGCTAGACTGATGGAAGACAGAAAGCTGTGGAGAACTGTTGTCAATGGATCTCGGGAATACTACCCGCCTTAAGTCAAGTAAGTCACTTGTTTTATCTTGTTTTATCTTGTTTGTACCCAAGCCCCTAAGAACAGTCTGACTATCAATGTTACGGTCAGCAATATACTTTCCCAGATAACACTTTATAGTATAGAATTCAAACAGATCTATCAAAACACTGTCCACCTTAAAAAGTGTTACAAAGTATGCAGCAACAATTTCTGATATCTTTTGTTAAAGAGAAGAGATGGGAGCTTCATAGGATTGGTATTGAGATGAGCTCAGCTATTAATACCCTCAGAAAACTGGTTATTTTAGGATTTTCAGCAGATGCAGGCTGTTGTGAAGATAACATACGCCTTGAAAGATACTTTTTGTGAATGCAAACTGCAAAGTTGATGATGACACTATTTCGTTGGAACCTTCCCACGAAGGTTCCTTCTAGGGTGATGTTGTATCTAGTGAACTAGGTAAACACTTATTGAAAAGGCAAATCACAAGAACAGAAAACTTATTGTTTCATTGTCTCACTTTGTGGGCCTTACCCCACAGTAATGGGCCAATCCCAGCAGTAGGGACAGTAGGGTTGAGGCACAGTTTTAAGGATGCAAATGTAAACATACAGAATACCCTCTACAGTCTACACCATACAAAATACCAGAAGCCTCCAAACAAACTCTCGGCCTATTGTCCTCACTCACGCTAATCACACACACACCCTCACAACATCCTTCTTTGACTCCTTTATGGAGATGAGCAATACCCTTCAACCTACGCACGTCCCTCATTCGAGGCAGAGAAGCCTTGATTGCCAGACCAAGAAATGTACAAATGTATCACTAGCAGCGAAATACGGATATACCTTCTCCTTAGTCTTACAAATAGTTAGGTGGCAAAATCCTGACTGTGCTTTTTAGGCATAACCACACCACACTTTGAAACTGTACCCATTTGCACTTATTCGTTGAAACAGAGCAACCTAAGTTAATGTAGGAAATATCCATAGAAAAAATGTTACATCTCAATTTAGCAAGGTTTTGATAGCAAACCAGCAGGAGCATGAATCAGATTCATCATAAATTTAAATAGGCAGTATTTTAGCAATTTTACACACAGATTTTCCAGGGAGCGAGGCTGAAGGGGAATGATCATTTAATAAAACTTGATCAATTTTAA